TTACATGAGAAGCTAGAAATTAAAACAAAGCATTTTAGATGGCCACATGCAGCAGAGGCAGTTCAGGCGATACAGAACACATTTTCAGTCAGCGCTCTGAATGCGCTTCAGGACAAAATAGACTGACCCGGTGCAGCTCATATCTCAATTTACCCTGCGTATTGGTATGCGTGATGATGAGCAGGAGCCAAAGAGGAGTGAAGCACCACAGTAAAGTGAGATGAGACCCCGGGGAGGGCACGAGACGCGCTGAATGACAATTGCACCCCACTGTCAACACTCATCTGCATTTTAACCTCCCTTTGGACTGACACGCTGGCTCGCAGGCAGCCACGGTCCTGACATATCAAGATGTAGAGCGGGAACCGTGCTCTGGGCCTTCATTAGCAAAGCATCGGGCTCATGCAGTATTTACAGAGTCGTCCACTAATTGAGTTTTAATGTCAGTGACTGCTCCCCAGGACACATCTAGATAGGTATATGGGCCTTTAAAGGGCAGCCTCATCTGCGGTTCAACCGCCACCAACCACAACATGCCCTTCTAAACCTCATCGCCCCTGAGGGGAAGCTGCCATCATGATATGAGAGAGGAAAAACCGGCCCCCCTCATCTAATTCAGCTAAAAGGCTGCTAGAAAGCCTCCTCAGCTGACCACCATAACCAGCCTTTGCCCAGTGGTTAAATGATTAATAGAGTTGGCATGGCAGCCTTGTTTACAGCATGTGAAGAAGGTTTCCACTGCATAATGCCAAACACTAAGTGTTGACAATCCACTCCCTGAGTGTCTACATAATACATAACATCAGCCAAACATGGGAAAACAGCAACAGCCTGTGCGCCGGAGATGACTGCACTGACATGACCTGACAGGCCTTGAAGCTGAAGGACACCTGGTTTACATGGCCTGTTGATTTGATCGGCGTTTGATCTGACATGATGAAAATCTTCCATTTTACCTGCATCTGTGGTGTCGGTTGAAATGGGAGAGGAATAATTAAGGGCAAACTGAATATTTGAATCGCATTAATGAGAAAATGACCGTAGAGTACACAGGCCGATTACATATACGCATGGAATAAACATGAAGAAATTTGCATCTGTAATGGTTCGGTGTGGTGGGGAAACGCAGTGAGAACCTCATTAGACGGTCTGCCTTACTCCAAATTATTTTGTGTCCGTTTCTCCTGCGGCAAGCGATAGACTCACAGAGGACAGAAAAAGACTCTTTGCAGGAATTAATCATCCAAATAGCAGATAAACCATGCAATCATTTATTTTGAAAAGCCAAGCTGACTAATTAGTGTGAATTCAAGTAGGCAGTATCCGGTATTTTCTTTCCAGCATGTTTTTAATTCTTTATTGTGTATTCTGCAGGTTAAGCACTTAAATAGAGAATTACTTTCACTATGCTAAAAGAACTTCCTTCCTTAGAAATGAGCCAAATGACTACTGTTGCATTCTGGTTAGTTCTCCCCTGGCATGATCCAATTTGTTTTATAGTAGAAAATTTAATTGCTCGAGGACTTTCATTTCTTTTCTCTTTTTTTTTTTTTTTTTGTCAACACAAAATCTTTTTACGTTCTATTTTGATTCATTTGTGAACATTATTTTTTAATGTTTTTAATGTAAGATTTTCCTTCTCCACTTAAGTCACCTGGCTAAAAAGTTATTTCTGCATTGTTTTAGGAACTGCATATTCATGCAGTTTTGGAACATTTTTATTATTTATTATTCCTGTTGAAACAGTGGAACTCCATCCCATTCATTATTACAATTCTTTTTACAGTGAGAAATCTATCAGACCAAATAAACTATCAACAAGGTTAAATTTGAAACATTTTGATTATCAAAGAGACTATTTACTCTAAAGGTGCACTCGGTATTTTGTTTTATTTTATATTTTTTTATTTAATTTTATAATTTTTATTTTATTTTATTTCCATGACTGATATGATAGTTGTCTTTAAACTGGCAAAAGCTTAACCAGTGTCATTGTAAATGCTCTTTATTTGCCGGCAGCCAGTAATTTATTCCACAAATGAAAGTATGTAGTAACAGGGGGTTACTGAGATAAAGTGAGTAGTATTTGACTCATGTGATCTCAACACGTCAGCCCCCATTAGACAATCCCCTTCATTTCAAATACATTGTTACCCAATGTATACATTTTAGTGACTGAAACTACAATTCCTAAAATTGCTTTTCTAATCTCTTACAACATACATAAATCAACAAGCTCACCATAACAGCGAAGGCTTTTTACAGTGCCAAAAGTACCTTTCACACCAGAGCATAAGTGAGCAATCCGTGCTTATGTTTGAAATTGCTACATTTTCAAGCAAGGTGCTCTCTGAGTGGTAGTTTTCAAGTCTTGCTCATGCGTCTCTCTTATTCTTTCTCTCACTTCATTGGATCATAATCCTAATGCAGTAATCTAAAGCTCTATCATAGTATAATGTTCTCGCTAACTCCAGAGCCATTGCCAGCCGAGCCAAATGATTATATTGTAGTGTGACTCATCAAACTGCGTATGGTCAGAAAGCAGAGCGCTTGATGGCTTGCACAAGTGAGTTTAATGTCTGCTCATTGCTTGGAGCCCTTGACCCTCTCTTGGAGGCGCTCCATGTTAGTCACTCTCTAGTGCCTCCAAATTGAAATGGAGTCAGAGGAGCAGATGAGATATCCACCATCAGGACTTGGCTGTGGAGCTAAAAGAGAGAGAGAGGGAGGGTTGAGCTGTACAGAACTGAGACCGAGATGTGTCACAGAGGACAATTATTGTACAATCCATGGGCAGATAGTTTAATCTTCTGAAATAAACAAGACTATGGTTTTATTCTCAGCTGAAAAAGAAATCCCAAACACTGCAGACAGACATAGGAGCGGACTCAGTTACAAAAACATACCCTTGAGTCAGAGCAGAAAAACCTTCGTAATGTTCACAAGCTTGCTGGGGGAATGAATGGTAGAAATCGAAATTCTTTCAAAATTAAATTTGCAGTTCAGGCCTTGTAAGCAATCTTTTTAATCAAAAGGTAAATCCAGAAAGGAAGCTGAAATATTGGGGAAATATTTTGGAGGAAGTTTGCCTCATTTGAAATGGAATGTCTGGGCTCCAAACTCTTTTAGACATGGTCCTCTTCAGGTACACTCTTAAAAATAAAGGTGCTTCACGATGCCATAGAAGAACCTTTTTGTCTAAAGGGTTCCATAAAGAACCTTTAACATCTGAAGAACCTTTCTGTTTCACAAAGGGTTCTTTGTGGCGAAAGAAGGTTCTTCAGATTATAAAAAAGGTAAGAAAGAGATGGTTCTTTAAAGAACCTTTGACTGAATGGCTCTTTGTGGAACCAAAAATGGTTCTTCTATGGCATCGCTTGAAGAACTTTTTGAAGCACCTTTATTTTTAAGAGTGTACTTCAGTGGAATTGCTGCCGCTCCGATCCCCTTGACCTGTACGCACAGGCACACTTTTTATCCTGATACAAAATTGCTTCTGCTCAAAGCAGCAAACACTCAATCACCCTCTAACATCTTAATCCTAACCAAACCCAACCAACCGTAACCCACCAAAAAACACAATTACATACATGCAGGATGACTGTAGGCTCAAATTTTGGAAAGGAAAGCTTGATGGAAGGAAACCGATTAAAGTTGCCAGAACCAATGTCCATTTTTAATAACCGTTAAAAACCTAAAGAAATAGATGTTATGCTAAGCACAAAGTCAGCAGTCTAATTCAACAATCAGTCTTAGTATGAGAAGTACTGTTGAAAAAGACCATAGCTTACATTTCCTCAGAAGTTCTGTGTTTATTCTGCAACTGAATAACTTCATACCATCATAAAGACGTGCATACATCTTTGTTCTCATACGATATGTGGGAGATGTGTGAACATTTTCAGGTTATATGAAGGTAATTCTTATTTTGATCCAATATCTTTGAAACTGTATTGAATCTTTCATCAAAAACAGAAGCACGACACCTTCCAAACAAAGAGCTCAACGACTCAAGAATTCCAACAAAGAAAACACAGCTGTGTTGAAACACATGATTTGGCCATTTTCACCCCTTTGGCACTAAAAAAAAAGTCAAAACAATAGAACCAAGTTTTTGGGATCTGTTTTAGTCATACTCATGTCACTTGTGGTCATGTACAAACAACAACAGTGCATGATTTCAGTAACACTGTCTGGCACATTTACATCGGGTCTGTGTGAATTGAGGATTTTAATGTATTTCAGTGACGCCAAGTTAAGATTTGATGCATTATTTAATAAATACAATTTTACAATTTAATCACATTATCCACTTAATTTAAGTTAGTAATTGTAATATTTTCTTTCACTTACATTCTTACATGGGACCCTGTAGGTCAGAGTAAAGTTAACTTTTCAATAGACTTCCATATAAGAGTTTCTTCAACTACCGGCTGTGGACTAAACAGCTCTCACAACAATTAGTCAACTAATAGTCACTGCACATACATGGGACAACTAAACATGACGTTTGCACCTCATCTCAGATTATGAATATTTTATGAAAATATTTTGTAATGGAAATACCATTTAAACATTTTCACATTTAAACAAAGAAAAGACTAACATTGCTAAAGCTAATTTCTTGGACAATATTTTTTTTGCACGAGTCTCACTTTTTAGTTAGTGTGAAATATCTCTTAAGAAATCAAGTCACACATTTGACATATTGTAATTACAGCTCAATGACAAAACACTCCATTCTGATTTCTTTATTTTTCAGTTTACTTCACAAGTCTCATACTTACTCTTAAAGTAACCATTGCCTACATGAAACAATAATATGACCCATGGCCATCTTGGTGTAAGAATTAAAACTCCTGACTTCTATAGTTTAAGCACTGCTGCCATCTACTGCTTCCTTATAGAACCATATCAAGTGCTTTGAGAACTACATTACAAATGAACCAAAAGGAAAAATTTGAGATGAGCAAAATAACCCACTATATGAACCAAACAAGTATATCAAATGCCGTTTATTAACAGTTTTGTCTGCAGCAATGTCATACAAGTGAAACTACATGGAAAGTGTGCTGTTCCAAGGTGCTGCCTACTAAAGTCATGAAAATGACTTTTACTAAAGGATTTTTAAAGAAACAGCAGATGCTTCGATTGTCCCAACTGTCCAAATGCAAGAGAGTACACATCAACATATATATATATATAAAAACAAATACCTAATGTGCTTGAGAGACAGTTAGAAAACAACATTTGTAACACTTTTGTTTTGAAACCCACCCAGACCCACACTCACACCAAAATGAATTTTACATGGCAACACCCAGGTAGAAAATGCAGTACAAAAACAGCTTTGGTGAACTTGTGTAGTCTTCTATAAAAAAAAGTTTTTCCATAAAAGCATTTTTTTTTAAAAAGTTAAATATTATAAAGTGAATTTGCTATTGCACACAGTGATAAGAGGCTTCGAGAGGAAAGGACTCTGCTGTGATGACAATACTAGAGCAGTCTCAAGGCTTTCTGCGTCTACAAAACAAAATTGAGGCAATTTTTTAAAAAGCTGTTTTCACCAGTGTGACTACAAACAAATGAAACTGTATGCAAATAAAGAGCTTACTTTGGATATCCGTGATGCTGGTATCCAGGTCCCAGGTTTGAGCCAGCTCTCATCTCCAATGCCACAGAGCACTAGAGAATAAAGACGATGGGTTAGGAAACAAATATTTTCATATTTAAAATATACAAATTATGCACACAACCCCATTCAAGCGTTTGGGGTCAGCAAGTTTACATTTTTTATAGAAATTCAGCAAGAATGCATTAAACTGATCAAAAGTGACAGTAAAAATCACAATATAACAAAATCAATTTCAAATGCTGTATTTTGAACTTTGTTCCAAGAATTTAAGAAAAAGGGTTCTCGCAAAAATTAAAGAGCACAACTGCTTTCAATATTTGTGTTTTTTACACTACAGTGACTTCTAAAAGGATCATGTGACACTGAAAACTGGAGTAATGGCTTCTGAAAATTTAGAATTGCAAATCACAGGAATAAATTACATTAAAATATTAAAACCGAAAAGTCATTTTAAATTGCAATACTGTTTCACAATATCACGGTTTCACTGAATTTGATGAGAGCCAGTTTTTAATATACCAAAAAAAGTCACTGTTGATCAGTGTTGATATCAGTATTTTACCCTTGTCTCCACATCAGTCCAGTCTCCTTCCATAGGCTCACCATCTGGGCCTGTCTCTGATGATCGTCTCTTACGGCTACAACCAAAAAGCACAACAATACAGAGCATTTACTACGAGACCTAGAAATTTGCTGCCAAGTTTGAATTGCATTGGAGGTCATTACCTGGCTGCAACAGGGTTTTCCTGCTTGAGCGTTTCGATATCTGTGAACTGAACAGCCTGTCCTCCACCTCTAGTTTTGAACACTTCACCCTGATAAAGAGCAAAAGATTTGAGTTTCAGCTGACAACCAAAACCAGTCAGATTGAGCAAGACCACTAGAAAAAGAAGCTACCTTGATTAGCTTGGTCTGGATCTCTCCATCTGATGCAACTTCCTGGTGCGTCAGAACATACTTGTCACACTTGGACAGAGCTTTCTCATTGGGAGCATTCACTGTGATGGCATTGGGGATGTTTGGCTGCAGAACTGTATCCAGGTCCACGTTAGTGGTGGGTTTATGATCAACCCACCTCTCCCCACCTGCGGAGTGCGAGCGTCTGTGTAGAGGCCGAACCGGCGGCCCAGTCTATTCAATTAAAACACAAACACAGTAAGACAAACAGAAGACGGTCCTTAAGCATGCTGAAGCATTAGTGTGTTAGTCAATCTCTACAGAAGCACAAACTAAACGTACCAAGCGGTTAAGAGGGAAGAAAAAAGCTGAAAATGTTCCCATTCAAACAAGCTCCAAAAGATAAATATGCTTTTCAGTATGCAGATTAAAGCTGTAAATGCTGACATTATTCAATTGCTTTTCACACACTTTAGACAAGTTAAATTACGTGCAGGAGTAACAGATGACAATGAGAAGATGAAAACTCAAATTTATTTGTCTAAAAGTGCAAAGAAAATGCCATTACATGGTTAAAATAAGCAGCACATAATACCTTATTTTACATATATATCTTCTGGGTAATAATTAATGCAGCTGAGAAACAGATCAAAAGGTCTACATTGAGTCTACATTAGTGTCTTGATGAAGCTCTACCTACAACTACAGCAAGTTACTCCACTGACCCAGTGACTCGTTTCCTCTAGGTCTACCTCTGCTGGCTGGACAGGCACCTCTCTGGCCCAACACCTGCCTCTTCTCCTGCTAAGACTGTCGGGAAGGCCCTGAGCTCTCTTCCTACTGACTGGAGGCGACTGGCTACCCTGCCTGCAAGACTGTGGGACACCCTGCTCCCACTCGGAGATGCAGGAGGCCACAGACACACTGCCTGGTCTGAGGAAGTGAGGATCTGGCCTGACCGTCTGAGAGAAGTTATATATGGGCTCCAGGGAGGAGAGGGATGACTGAGAACCATTGTAGGGAGACTGCAAGCGACATGAGATTAGTACACACATTGTTTGCATGCAACACACACCAGTACATTAAAAACAGCATTTACGGCATTAAAAACAGGTTGGAATCTGTAAAAAAGTGCACAGGGTATTTATACACACACACTGCAATAGCAGACCATGCATGGACATATAAAGAGGAGGTTTGTGGATTAGGTTAGGCATAAATCTCAGGGGCAGGCGGTCTAGAAACGTATGTCAGTTAAACGTACAGGAACAGGCGACGGGGAAGCGGATCTCTTGGCAGGCACTTTGTCCTTTTCTCTGGAGGGCCGCTGTGGCTGCCGGTTCTCCGTCTTTCCCTCAGTCACGATGGCTTTGAGCTGTTTGAGTTTCTCATCCTTCACCCACAGCTTATTCTGCATTTCCAGCTGCTTGGCATTTACCCGCCTCTCCTGTAGAGAACAAACAAAAGCTGCATGTATCACACCACTAACAAATTAAATTCTACAGACACAAAAAAAATCATTTCGCATATGGTCTATGGGAAGACACTCACACACTCCTTCTCCCACTTAAGCTTGGAGTCAGTGACAATGCCTTGCATGCGTGTTTCCATGCGTCTCTTTTCAGACATTTCCCTTTGCAGCCGGTGTTCTCTGCTCTCCAGTTCCTGCTGTAGAGATCGCTTGTCCTCTTCATAGATGTTGGTAGTTTTCTGTAGAATGTCAATCTGTAACAGAAACATTTTGCAGATGCATTAGAGGCCATATTCAGAACTTTTGTTAGTATGACACTTAAAATAACTGTCATTCCAACCATAATTATTGTAGCTTAATTTGCGTTGTAAATGCCAGATATAAAGCTATCAGGCAGACATACACTCATACACTACTGTTCAAAAGTTCTAATCTTTAAAGAGACTCATGCTCATCAAGGCTACATTTGATCAAAAATACAAAAAAGTGATAAAAGTAATAAAAGTGAAATAACAACTATACATTTTTTAATTTAATATATTTTAAAGTGTAATACACTCCCATGACGGCAAAGCTGAATTTTCAGCAGTCATTAGAAATCCACCAGAAATTGATATACTGATCTGGTGCTTAAAGGGGTCATATGATGCTTTTTTAAAGATCATTATTTTGTGTATTTGGTGTAACAGAATATGTTGACATGCTTTAATGTTCAAAAAACACATTATTTTTCAAATACTGTACATTATTGTAGGTCCTCTATGCCCCGCCTCTCTCAAACGCTTCGTTTTCTACAAAGTCCCTCCTTCCGACAAGCGCAGTCTGCTCTGATTGGCCAGCTGACCCAGTGCATTGTGATTGGCCGAACACCACAATCACTCGTTGGAAATGTAACGCCCCTTACCATAATCGCGAGCTTCATCTTTCAAAATAAATGTAAAGACAGAGCCCGAAAGGGGAACAGAGTCACGTGACAGACACAGTGATGAAGCTGGTATGTGTGCAGCTTGTAACACTCCAAAGAGACAGGAAAACTTGAAATCGCATCATATGACCCCTTTAAGAAACATTTTTACTATCAATGTTGAAAACAGTTGTGCAGTTTAAGATTTTTGTGGTAACTCATTTGTTTTTCAAATTTACTTAAAAGAAAATTATAACATTACACATGTAATTGTCACTTTTGATCAATTTAAAGGGGTCATATGATGCTGCTAAAAATAACATTATTTTGTGTATTTGGTGTAATGAAATGTCTTTTATGCGGTTTAAAGTTAAAAAAACACATTATTTTCCACATACTGTACATTATTGTTTCTCCTCTATGCCCCGCCTTTGTAAAAATCGACGCGTTTCAAAAAGGCGGGGCATAGAGGAGAAACAATCATGTACA